TATATATATAATATTTTTATATATATATATATATATATATATATATATATATATATATATATATATATATATATATATATATATATATATATATATATATATATATATATATATATATATATATATATATATATATATATATATATATATATATACTACTATATTATATATATATATATATATATATATATATATATATATATATATAGGAACTCAGCCGACGAGATTTGCGGTATTGGTGCGCATACCTGTCCTGCGCGTTGTTCAGACACCTGCAGTTCTTCAACCCCGCCGCCGCTTGGACACACACGGCGTTCCCGTTCCTTGTTGCCAATCTTAGTCTCCAGAACAACACTACCAAGTTTATCCCAGATAAAACGGTCTGCCATGATACTGCCATCCACAACACTCTCACCGAGACCCCAGCTGCTATTAACCACCATCTCATCCAGGTCCGAGTTCAGCGGGTTTGCACTGAAGGCCACCCCGGCCTTACTCGGTTCAACCATCTCCATGACAACGGCCGAAAAGTTCGTGGGATGCCAACCTGTGTGACCATACTGCGAGACTTTCTGGTCAAAGACCGAGGCAAAGCACCCGCGCAATGCGAGTTCTACGTGGTCGACTGAGACTCCCAGCTTAGTCACGAACACACCGGCAAAGGACGCGCCATCACATCCTCCTCGGGTGCAAACGAACGCACAGCCGCCACCGCTCCGGGCCAGCTGCTGCATAGTATAGTAAGATGACAATGTAGACACGTTTAATTGTAATATGCATGGGTGATGATAATTGAAATTGCATTTAATTATGATGTACAAATAAGCAAGTTCATTCTAAATAAAGCATCCGTTGCACTTGGGCAGATCGAATCTAAAATGGTCCGGTTGCATCCACACAACCATCTTACAAAGAAACATACTTCTGCGTACATGTTAGCTGAACAACAGTGGCGACCCACAAAGCATACGCCAATCGGCGAGAAGATAGTGAATAAGCAATAGATATGACGGAATGTCTCGTACTATCCTGATCGCTTCTTGTAGGGGGACTGCTCTGGATATAGTAACAGATCATTTATCAGAGCCTGGATGTGCGAGCACACCTGCGCATCTGACTCGGAGGAGTGCCCGGTCTCTGCCTTAGTACTTAGAACTCCAGAGTTTTGGTCTGTGGCTGCTTTGTATTCGTTGCTGGCAAGGACCTCATTCATCCAGGTCTGAAAGAAGGCCTCAGAGACGGCGAAACCACGGGGTACGTGTCGCTTCAGTTGTTCGGTGGTGCAAAGATTCATCAGCCCAGCTGCTTTGCCCCCAATCCATTGTGTTGGAGGAGGTTCTTGCCCGTCATTCAGGCTATAAAGATTATCAATTTTTCCCTCGGTCATATCGTATGCTGGAGATAAGCTCGGATGGGGACAACAAAGCGAATGATATATCTAAATAAGGTATCTATCTAATCGACAGGCATATGCGTGGCGTACATTTTCTACTGGCATAAAATCGGTGTAAATACCCAAAGGAGAACGTTTACACATGCATGAATCATTATTACCATTCGACGATAAAATGATTTTGAAAAGAGAACCTAATAAAAAGGCGACATAATTACGAAGAGTGATGAATTTTTCTCCTTGTAGGCAATTGCAAGTTCCGATTCCTGATTGAATTTTACCACTTACTTAAAAGTTATTTAAGCTTTTTATGAACTGAGCAGTTTGCATCAGGCTACAGGCCACAGCTCTCCTTTAATACTAATATCCTGCCCGTGTTACTTTAAACATTAACGTAGGATCAGTGATCCATGAGCTACGAGTCGACTAAATATGGCGCGTGACTTCAAGTCCCTATGCAACAAGAAGCTTATTCAACAAGAAGAGCCAAGAAGAATGTGCTGATATCAATGTATCATAGACCATACTCTCGAAATTTCAATGTATTATAGACCATACTCTCGAAATTTGAAAAATTATCACATTCTTTCGAATCTTTTCATCAATTGTCTAATGTCTTGATATCTTCAACCATATAGAGTAAGTAGAATTAAAAATAGGTCAATTGTATTGAAGAAAATAGTCAACAAATACTATATAAATACTCTGTCTACATTTTTCGAATTTTCACTAGAAACCAATTTTTGTTGAAAGAAATGTATGATTCAGAAGGCTATAATTTTTTTTTATTGCTGTTTATCAGTATCATAAATACTAACTGCAGTAAATCCCGTATCACGGTATGAGTCATGATGACTAATACAGAGTAATATCTAGAGTAAAAAACTGATACTAGATTTGTTTCAATAAATGTGTGGTATTCTACTATTTTTGAGCAAAAAGCCACGCAACAGGTGAACACTCGACACTGAACAGTCAACACTGCAGCTACAATGCACGATTGCACAGGCCGTATGATAGTCTTCTAAATAAAATATACAAGAAGAAGGCTATGGCCACATAGTCATACAGTCATGGCTTATGAGTCATGACAAATAGGGCATACACACAAGAAGGAGAATAGCAGGATTGTAAGTGTAGAGATATAAATACTTATCTGTAGGAATGTAAGGGTACATTTCTAATTTATTTGCGGTAGGGAAGTACAGCTTCCCTAAATATATTTGTACTTATGTCTTAAATGATCCGTCACAGCCCACACCGGCTGTGAGTTTGTAGCTGCACCTACACTTGCGTTATACATACATACCAACCTCTGAGTGCATACCTCCTTCCTTATAGTTGCAAACGCTATACACGATGTCAAGCTCGGTTCCCTCGGCGAGGGGATGATGCACAGGTACAGTGCTTCTTCTACGTATAAATACCGCGAGGTCCACACAGCTAGTTGTTCAGAATTAAGCCCTAACTTTGTATAATCAGATTCTACATGTATGTAGAGCATATGTCCTGCATTTCGGCACTGAGTATTGCAAAAGCTCATGTGCAAGTGTGTTTTTTAAGCCTGCCCTCGGACCATGTATATGCCACGCAGTGTAACCTGGCGCTTTGATAATGCAAAACGCCGGCAACCTTGCCTCTCTAGCAGCATACTTCGCCTACGTTCAATCGGCCACAGTTGATGTAATTGCTGCAGCCAGATACTTTCAGGGGTTTAGCAAACGCCGTTGTCAGCCACGTTTCTTCCGAATTGAACTGGTTCGCACTTGCGGTGCGCGTGCGACCGTTTATCCGCAAAGTCTGGGCACTTGTAGAGGGCGTATGAATATAAGTCGGGCGGCTCTTGATATGATATATAGTAGAACTACACAGGAATGTTCAAGTATTCGCGGTAGTAGTCTATGGTCTTCTGGATGCCGTCATCCACATTCCATTTGGGCTCCCAACCGAGTTGTTCCTTCGCGCGCGTAATGTCGGGTCGACGGCGCTGTGAGCCGAGGAGAAAGTATCAAGATATAACATAAGTTAGTCACTTTGCTTAACTGCAGTAAACGGGAGATACAATGCAAACCAGACACTTTCTCGACTGACAGTCAATAGGATACATTGTAAATCAGACACTTTCTTGATGTTATCAGACACTTTCCAACTGTGTATCAGACACTTTCCAAATGTATATCAGACACTTTCCAAATGTATATCAGACACTTTTTCGATATAAATCGAATACTTTCACAAGGTAAATCAGACACTTTGTCAACCTACATCAAACACTTTCTCAATCTAAAACAGGCTTTTTCTCGATATAAATCAGACTTTTTCTAAGTATATTCAGACAATTGCTCAACTGACAGCAAACGGGAGACAAAACGAAAACACAACCGAGGCGACTACTTATGAAGTGTCCTACTTCATTGTTTCGTAGCGAAAGCTATTTCCGGTTACACGAACATTTCTAAAACACACACACACACACACACATATATATATATATATATATACATTTTTAAAACACGCATATATATATATATATGCATACAAACATGCGTATATATATATATATATATATACAGTATATATATATATTCTAAAAGTTATTGATAGGTATATTATATACGACAAGAAAAACCAGACACACCCGAGTATTTTCCCCTATACACACACACACACACATATATATATATATATGTATATATATATATATATATATATACTTATATACATATACATAATAATATATATATATATATGTATATTTATATATATGTATATATATATAATAATGTATATAATAATATAATATAAATATAATAATATATATA